ACTACAATTGCGGCTCTTGGGTTTGCTCCTTCGACTGCTGACCCGTCGTTGTTTCTGTGGACCGACACTTCGCTGCCACCGTTCTACATCCTCGTGTACGTCGACGACTTGGTCTTTGCCACTGCTGACACTGAGGCTCTCGCCCTGGTGAAGTCGGAGCTGCAGAAGAGACGCACGTGCACAGACCTGGGTGAGCTGCGCAGTTACCTTGGCTTGCAGATCACCTGGTCCTCGCCACAGTCCACTCCTCTGGCTACAGGTCACTCGCTCTCAGCTCCACCTTCGGACGAGTCCGTAGAGCCGAATGGTTTTACCCGGAGTTAGTGGGCTGCCTCATGTACCTGATGACCTGCACTCGTCCTGACCTCGCGTACCCTCTTGGCCTTTTGGCACGCTACGTGGCTCCTGGTCGGCACCGAAAGGTGCACATGGATGCTGCGAAGAGGGTACTGCGCTACTTGTGCAGTACATCGGGCATGGGGCTCGTGCTTGGAGGGCGGAGAGACGTGGTCCTCACTGGGCACTCAGACGCTTCTTGGGTTGACGACCAGGCTACGCAGCGGTCGTCACAGGGTTACACTTTCAGCCTTGGCTCTGGTTCTGTTTCTTGGCGTTCTACTCGCTCGTCTTCTGTTCTCAGCTCCAGTTGTGAGGCTGAGATCTACGCCACCGCCATGGCTGCTCAGGAGTTACACTGGCTCACCTACCTGCTGACCGACCTGGGAGAGCGGCCTCGTTCTCCTCCAGTTCTGTACGTCGACAACAAGGCTGCCATTGCCTTGTGTGAGGAGCACAGACTGGAGCACAGAATGAAGCACATCGCTCTGCGTTACTTCATGGCTCGAGAGTTACAGCAGCGTGGTCAGCTTCGTCTTGCACACGTGGCCACTCGGGCCAACACTGCTGATATATTCACCAAGGCACTTCCGTCTGGTGATCATCAGCGCTTCTGTACTTTGTTAGGCCTTGTGCCTACGTTTCCTCACTTGCTGTAGCCTTTGTGTGTACTGTGCTCTATATTTATACCTGCATGCTTGCTCTTGCTAGGTATTGATCACTGTACTGCTCTTGTTGCATATATATATCTCTGCATGTGGACTGGCTTTGTGGTCCTTTGCTTGCGCTCAGTGTGTGTGGTGACGTTGTGATCCACCCTAAGCTTGCTTTGCTTTTCTTGACTGGTCTTGTGACCCCTTGTTCTCCCCCACTTTGCCTATGGGGGTGTGTCAAACTGTATATGTTATATACTTGTGTAGGCTGTATATGTTATATACTTGTATGTGTTCTCCCCACCTTGTCCCCATAAAGGGTACAACCCAATGTTAGGGTTAGGATATGTACCCAACTCTGTTTCAATTCAAGTCATTCCTGTCTCTAGTTTCTAACAGCAGATTCGCCCGACACAGCAGATTCGCCCCCTGACACTAACAGATTCGCCCCCTGACACCTGCATCAGATTCGCCCATTCACAACTCGAATCCCATATTCACCCCTACATAATTGGATTCGGTATCAGATGAAACCAAAACAAGAACCTGATTGATCAGATAAACTAAAAAACTACTCCTTATCAATAAGAAGTTACAAAAATCATTTTCTGGAAAATCAGATGAGCTCTAAAAACTCTATCTGGAAGACAAACAGACAAGAAATTTCTGGTAGCGACGACCCGAACAGACCATGTAGACAAAAACAGGCAACCCATCCCTGGGCAAATGATGTGTTTGCAAAGCATCATATGAGAAAGAGCAAGCCAAGGGAGGTTGAGATGAGCAAGCAAGCAAGGAGGTGATGCACAACGCATCCATCGCACATGACACATGAAACAATGCACATGGCATATGAACCCAAATGGCACATGGCGGACAGCGAATGCATGACACATGCTACATGGCATGTCAGACGAGGACCTACGTGACACATGCCAGACGGTGCATCACACATGCTACCATGGCCCATTCACCATGATGGTATACTGAGGAAAACCTGACCTTGAAATAATGGGCTTAAGGTGAGGCAGCTAATGAGCGGGGAATCTGGGATGCTAGAAAATGCTCACTACCAGAGCTTCATTTCATCCTGATGTCATGCCACTCGCCATGCTGATGTCATGCCAATTGCCATGTTGATGTCATGCCAATTGCCATGCTGATGTCATGCCACTGACCATGCTGATGCTAACTGTTCTTGTTGACCATGCCATGCCTTCACAGGGATCAACATTGGATTCACTCATACATGATACCTTGACTCTTAACCATGACAAGTGCAATGCACTGATGGTTGCAATGCCTGCCGATGACAGGGCATGCTATGCGAATGATTGAAAAAAAAACCTCTTAGCATGCTGATGTCATGCGGCTGACCATGCTGATGTCATGCGGCTGACCATGCTGATGTCATGCGGCTGAACATGCTGATGTCATGCGGCTGACCATGCTGATGTCATGGTACTGGCCATGCAGATGCTGATAACCCCTGTTGACCGTACCATGCGTTTACAGTGGAAACTGTTGACCATAAATGATGGTTGCAATAATGTCATCATGACTCTTGACCATGGCAAGTGTAATGCACCAATGGTTGGAGTGCCTGCGATATTGACTTCACAGTGAAAGTGTGTTGACTGTTAAACCATGGCAGTTGCAATGCCAACCAGATCGAATGCCCCTCATACCATAACTGTACATGTGATGAGATGCATCAATGATTGCAATGCATGCATGATTGTAACACATGCATGATTGACATGCATGCACAATTGCAATGCATGCATGATTGACATGCCTGCATTACTGAGTTCACAGTGAAAACACCTGACTTGTAGAGATGACGCCTTGACTCTCGCCCTGAGTCTTGAAACGGTTGGGCCAGGCACTCAGTCGCAGTGTCAAACGATAGGACAAGGCTGATGCTAGCTGTTCCAATGGTGCTGATGGTGCTGGTGATGTCTGGTGGTAGTGCGTGATAAAAGAGTGTTTTTGAGACGTCTTTAGAAACAAGGCTGATGCTGCTTGTTCCAATGGTGCTGATGGTGCTGATGGTGCTGGTGATGTTGATGCTGGTGCTAGTGCGTGATAAAAGAGTGTTTTTGAGACGTCTCTAAAAACAAGGCTGATGCTGCATGTTCCAATGGTGCTGATGGTGCTGATGATGTTGATGCTGGTGCTAGTGCGGATGGTGCTGCTGCTTGTAGATCGAAAACATCAAACTGTGAATGTTGATGCTGATGCTGATGGTGGTGCTGATGCCGATTGCAGATGTTGCTAGTGCAAATGTTTATGTTGATGCAGGTGCTGATGCTGATGGTGGTGCTCATGCTGATGCTGATGGCGGTGTGTTAATGCTTGCAATAATACGCTCCGATGGAACTTGAGATCGCGGAAAGTTCAGATAGTGCCACTTTTGATTTGATGAGAATCCGGCGAACATGCTAATGGTGGTGCCTGGAACTCGAATGTCAATGCATGGTTGCTCCTAATGGTGTCTTGAGTGGAATAGCAAACCATGATAATGCAGGTTGCTGGAATTGCCATGCCAAACAATGCAAACACTAGTGCCTGGAATTTAATGGCAGAACATGGTAATGCTGTGACTGCACATGGATGAGGATCCATGCTTGTTTGGCATAAATTGGAATGGCAATTGATGGTCATGCATGTATTTCAGATTCAAATGGCAATTCATGGTAATGCTAGTGAGTGCAATTGCAATGCAATGCCAAACAATGCTAATGCTAGCGATGGGAACTGGAATGACGATCCATGGTTATGCTACGAATCAGAATGGCAATTCATGGCTATGGGAGTGACCAGAATTGAAACGGCAAAATTGGAAAATGCTAGTGACTGAAAACGCAATGCTGCAGCATGCTGATTCAAAATGGCTGGAAAGCCAGCCTATTGCAATGGGATCGGTCGGAGAGGCATGTTATGGGCATGTCAGGCCACGTGCATGCCATGTGGATGCTATGTGAATGCCACATGGATGGCATGGGCATGGGGATGCCACATCAATGCCTTGCGCATACCACGTGGGTACCGTGGGGATGTCACATGGGTACCATGGGGATGTCACGTGGGTACCATGGGGATGTCACGTGGGTACCACGGGGATGTCACGTGGGTGCCATGGGGATGTCACGTGGGTGCCATGGGGATGTCACGTGGGTGCCATGGGGATGTCACGTGGGTGCCATGGGGATGTCACGTGGGTGCCATGGGGATGTCACGTGGGTGCCATGTGCATGCCACATGGGTGCCATGTGCATGCCACATGTATGCCAAACCCAATGTCACAATCCATGAAACCTCCATGCTACCTCCAAAAGCAGACATAGCAGCAGCAGAAGCACCAGCAGCAGCGGCAGCTTTCCATTGCACCAACCCTTTCACCTCCTGCTGCTCCCGCTTTCGTCCCGTTATCCCTCCCTGCTAGTGGGGTTTTGCAAAGCCTGTCTCTCCTCCCAACACCCCAGAACCCAGCTGCACCCTTTCACGCCCACAAAAAACTCTCAATCAACACAGGCACTGCTGCCAACGCCCCTATTGCTCCTGCGTCTGTTCCTGATGCATCACCCCTTCACAATCACAACACAATCTAGATCAATCCACTCGCTGCTGCCAACGCTGCAGCTGCTGCAGCCTCGCGCCCCTCCTGCCCCCCCTAACCCCCCTGCCCCACCTGCTCCTCCATCCGTTCTTGCTGCCGCACCCCTTCACACTCACAACACACTCTAGGTCAATCCACTCGCTGCTGCCAACGTCACTGCTGCTGCAGCCTGTGCCCCAATCACCCCTCCTGCTCCCTGCCCCCGCTGCTCCCCTGCCCCCGCTGCTCCCCTGCCCCCGCTGCTCCCCCCCCTCCTCCGTCCGGCCCGGCAAGTGGGGGCTCCGCCGCTGGCCCAATCTCACTCCCCCCAACGCCCCCCCCATTCCGCCCACTCCCCCCAAGTCCCCAACTCCTCCTTCCCCCATACCCCGGCCCACACGCAAGGCAATCTAGGTCAACCCACTGGCTGCAGCCAACGCCGCTGCAGCTGCCTCTTCTGCCTTGATCGCCCCTCCTCCCACCCCTCCTGCCCCCCCTGCTCCACCGTCCGTCCCTGCTGGTGGCGGCTCCGCCACTGGGCCTATCTCACTCTTCACAGCGCCCCCAAACTCCCCCACTCCGCCCACTCCGCCCACTCCGCCCACTCCCCCCATCCCTCCCCCGAAGCCCGGCCCCTTGACTCCGAGGGGGTTCTTGGAGAATTGAATTCGGATAGGGCCTCTATCGGATGATGCCAGGGAGGTGCCTTGCAGTGCTGCGTGCACGGCTGATGCTGATGCTATGTCCTGCGGGTGCGGGAGTAAGGGAGGGAGGGAGGATGAGGGGGGTGAGAGCGGGCCCCCAAAACCCGGCCCCTCGACTGCAAAAAAGGGAGTTCTTGGATAACTGGATTCGAATGGGGCCTCTGTCTGATGAGGCTAGAGAGTTGCCTTGCAGTGCTGCGTGTACTGCTGACGCTGACGCTATGTCCTGTTGGGGAGAGGGAGAGGGAACGAGAGCACAGATTATGCCACAAGCCCGGCCCCTTGACTCCGAGGGAGGGGGTTCTTGGATAACTGGATGCAAATGGGACCTCTGTCTGATGAGGCGAGGGACGTGCCTTGCAGTGCTGCATGTACTGCTGATGCTGACGCTATGTCCTGTGGGAGGGAGGGAGAGACGGCACCAGGGAGGGAGGGGGAAATGAGGTGAGTACGTTATGGCCGGTTCCCCTCCAACCCCACTCCTTGACTCCGCGGGAGGGGGTTCTAAGAGAACTGGATGCGGATGGGTCTGCAGAGGGGAGTGACGATATGGCGGTGTGGGGGGGAGTTGATGCGAGCTGGTGTTTTGGAACTCTCAAGAACCAGCTTGGAAAACTGGATGTAGATGGGCCTGCAGAGGGGAATGACAAAATGGCGGTTGGGGGGGAGCTGGTTGGGGCGGAAGGTGGGGGGAAGGGAGGTGAGTTGAAGATGGGCGCTCCTTCAACCGAATGAATAGAGTACATGTATGTATGTACAAATAGATCTATGTATGAGGAAGAGTCATAGAAAAGGGGAGCAAAAAGTTGAGTCTTAGGGCGCGTAACCATTTTGCATTTTGTGATTTTGACGGACAGTCCGCTTAAAACGAAGCGGACGGTCCACTTACTGAAAACGGGACCGTCCGAAGTGAAAATTTGCAACTTCGGACTGTCCGAAGGCAGTTGTGACACTTTTCTTCTATTGTACAGTTTCGCGACAACTGTACAAGCGTTACGCGATTTACGATTTTCATGTTTTTCGTTGTCGAATCATTGTTCTAAGCAAGTTGTCTCTGGTTGGTCAATGTAAATTTGCGAAATCTAACCACATGTTTTTGTTGGTGGACGAGATGCCCAAGAATTTTTACGTCGTGCACCAATCGGATGCAAGGAAATTCGGACAGTCCGTTTGAGATTCGGACTGTCCACGGTTCAGATTTCGGACAGAAGAAAATGGGAAAAAGTGTCACGACTGTCCGTTTAGTTGGCGACGTCGCCAACACCTTAACGAACGCACTAACGACATAGAGCGAATACTGTTACCTTTTCGCCACCCAGACAGTCCACGGTTCGAACCGTCGGGTGCAAAATGGTTACGCGCCCTTACCGAGTATTGCACGAAGCAGCATGTGTTGGTGACGCCTTGCCTCGTCAGCTTCATTTGCACATAGCCTGGTTGCCTGGGAGGTGGGGGGATGATGGAGGTAGTGTGATGGGAGGGGGAAGTATGAAGGACGAGGGGGGGGGAGCCAGAACGATTTCACGCGCACAAGGCTGGATCCATGCACAATGAGTCTATCTTTGAGTCGACTCAAAAATAGACTCGTCACACTGAGAACGTTTGCCCGCGCACAAGGCTAGATCCGTGCACGAAGGAGGCAGCGAAAAAAGGCTACATTTGGTCGAATCAAGAGGATTGAGAGGACAGGAGGAGGGGTGGAGGGTGGTGGGTGGAAGCCTGAGTCTAAGGTTTGGAAAGGTTAGAAGGGGAGGGGGAAGAAGGGAGAGCGGGAGAGGAGGGGGGCAGGAGGAGAGAGGGGAGGAGCCACTCACGTGCCAAAGACACTGAGAATCTCTGTTTCGTTGACGAATGGGCTGAGATTGCCGATGTAGAGTGTGTTGCAGGGCGGGTTGTCCTTGTACACCTGCATGATAAAGGAAAAAAAAAAAAAAACGAACACCACCTATTTTAAGTTAACATGAACAAACATCAAAATTCTGTTTAGAGGTCCACATGCAACAAGACAACAGGAGCATCCCCTTAACCCCAATCCTCTGGAGGGAGCAAACAATTCTGGAGGAAGCAAACAATTCTGAAGGAAGAAAGCAATTCTGCTTTAAAGGGAGCAAACAATTCTGCTTTAAAGGGAGCAAACAATTCTGCTTTAAAGGGAAGAACTCAGTAGAAGAAACCCACCTTGGAGGGAGCGTAAGAGCACGCTACAGTGCGCGGCATGACAGCAGCAAGAGCGGAGCCGACGGCTGCCCCCCCCCCCCCTCCCACCCTCACCCCCCGGAACCCACAACCCACCTTGGCGGCCACAAGTAACCCACTTTGGAAGGTCTTTCCAACTAACCCACCTTAGAGGGCGTGTACGAGGACGCTTCAGTGCGCGGCATGACGCAGCAGCAGCGGAGCCCACAGCTGCACTCCACAACCCCCCCCACCGCCACCCGCAACAACCCGCCTTGGAGGTTTCTTCCAGCTCACACACCTTGGAGGGAGTGTATGTCGATGCTACAGTGCGCGGCATGACAACAGCAGGAGCGGAGCCCACAGCTGCACAACCCCCCGACCACAATCCACACCCCACAGACTCTGAACAACAACGAAACAGCCCACAACCCACCTTGGAGGGAGTGTATGTCGATGCTACAGTGCGCGGCATGACAGCAGCAGGAGCCGAGCCCACAGCTGCTGCTGCAAACGCGGCTGCCGCAGCAGCACCATAGGGATCATAAGAAGCCGCTCCAGGAACCACGTAGCTGCAATGAGAGGAAGGGACGAGAGGAACGGCAACCGAAACAACTTTTGAGACGTCTCAAAAGTGCTGCTGCAAACGCGGCTGCCGCAGCAGCACCATAGGGATCATAGGAAGCCGCTCCAGGAACCACGTAGCTGCCATGAGAGGAAGGGACGAGAGGAACGGCAACCAAAACATGAGGGTCCGGATAGGGATGGATCATGGAAGCAAAAAAGGAATGGAGCCCACAGCTTCTGCAGCAAAGATGGCAGCTGCAGCAGCGCTGTAGGGGTCATAGGAGGCTGCTCCGGGAACCACGTAGCTGTCATGGGAGGAGAGAGCGGATGGAGGGAGGAAGGAGGAACGGAGGGAGGGGAGACGGGAGGGGGAAGAGGAAGGGGAGGGGGGGGGGGGGTGGGTTGGGGGGAAATGGTTGAGATGGTAGAAAGACAGAAGGAGAGGAGTCCACAGCTGTTGTAGCAAAGGCGGCTGTTGCAGCAAAGGCGGCTGATACAGCAGCGGCATAGGGATCATGGGAGGCTGCTCCAGTAACAATGTATCAATATAGGGTGAGGTAGGAAAGAGGATTCCATCGGCGGAGGAAAAGGGATGGCGTTAATGTACCAAATTACACAAACGAGGATCTAAAAAACCAGTATGAAATCAATGCTGGGATTACATCAGCGCTGGGATGATATCAACGCCGGGATAGCATCAGTGCCGTGCCAGGATGGCATCGACGCCAGAGATCTAGATTCATATCGGGAGATTTGAACGTATGGAGAGCTAGGGACGCAAAATAATGCTCAACGCTCACGACCAGAAAAAGGCAAACTCAATGCTTACGACGAGGTCAACGCGTCAGCGACACGGAGCCTCTTGGCAGGATCTTCAGCACCTGAGGAGAGCGGGGTGGGGGAAAGCGGAGTGGGGGAAGGCGGAGTGGGGGAAGGCGGAGTGGGGGAAGGCGGAGTGGGGGAAGGCGGAGTGGGGGAAGGCGGAGTGGGGGAAAGTAGCATATGATAGATATCCGGTGGAGGAAAGGCGAAAGATAGGGGATGAAATAGTGGACTCGGGATGAATGAGAAAACGCGTTGATTAAAACAAAAAAAACCAAACGCGAGCACGCATTTGAACACGAGTAGACTGTAGAAGCCACTTCCCTCCAACATAACTTTTGTAATCTTTTCAATTTTGAGTATATTATCGATACCTTTTTTCCTGAATAGGTTCTTCTTGGCCATTTCCGCTCGCAGCACCGCATTGGACTCAACGTCGAACAACAACCCCTGCACACGCAACAGGGGAAAATGGAAACAAACACATATAGAATGCAATGCAATCCCTACAATGTTGAAAAAGTCTAGAATTTCCAGCTATAGAAACAGTCCCGAGAATAAAGGCTTGCCAGATTTGACGCGATCAGACGAGGAGCGATTAGATCTGCCTTGTTTCAACCACGTCATGCGAGCAGCCAACGGGCGTACCTGCAGGGCGTCGCGAGCGGCGAACGCCATGGCTGACGTGGAGAAGAGCGCGAAGCCCATTGGCTGGTCGCCCTTGTACGACAGCTGGCAGGACTCGTAGCCCGGCCACCAGCGCAGCAAGTTCTGCAGCTCGCGCTCCTTGGTGTCGGGCGGAAAACCCGTTATGAATATTGTCCGGACCTGGGGAGAGAAGGAACTCGGGAGAAAGAAGGGACCTTATAACGAGGTTCTGCAGCTCGCGCTCCTTGGTGTCGGGCGGGAAACCCGTTATGACAGTCGTTCGGACCTAAAAAGTGGATAAAAAAAAGCATTTATGATGACTGATAAGACGGATCTGCAGCTCGCGCTCCTTGTGTCGGGCGGGAAACCCATTACAAAAATCGAGCGGACCTGGAAACGTGTTGAAATATACAGAAACGGGAAACACGGAACGTATAAGAGGGCTATACAGCTCGTGCTCCTCAAGGTTTGGCGGGAAGCCGGATGAAAACAAATTGGCAGATCAAAAGCGGCACGGCGAGCTTCTGATGATTAGGAGGGTAACTGCCATAGAGGCTGGACAATGGTAAAGAGTGACACTGGGGCAATAACAACTGGAATTCGTGAGCGGACGAAATCGAGCGGAGCGGATTAAAGCGCTAGTCGATTGGTGCGCATAGATTAATATTAAGAAAGTCGTTCTTCAACGTTTACAGACGATTTTCGATGCGCCTTATATGTATAAAGAATCATCTCTATTAAGACGCTAAAGGCGGAGGCTTACCACGTCTTCGCCTTCTACTGCGCCAGTTGGCCATCCTGCTAGTGACGCCATCGAGGCACTGAGAGCCTAGGTCAACAAGTCGACGGTTCAGATTCAACAATGAACGGCCGTGATAGCGCTGTTGAGACGCGAGGAAGAGAATGGCACGGTAACCTTCGAGACGACTGACGGTAATGGGGCGCCCGGCGTGATGGTATAGCGAAAGGAAAAGAGTGCGGCAGGAATCAAGGCCAGCTGAGCCGCTCCTGCTTTAGCAGACAGAAATAGAAGCAAGTTGGTATAATAGTTGAGCCTGGTCTAGAACTGCCGCGTGGTATGTATGTTCTAGGGTTTTGTTATGTAGTGGGTGATGGCTGGGAAGAAATGGAGTTGATGGCAACACCGAGGGCAATTAGCAAGCAGAGGGGGGAGCAAAAATGATTTCGATTTTCCCCGCTTTTGCATGGCACTGTACGGTGCTGAGCGGTTACAAGCTCATGAACTCAGGCCTTGTATAATCTCTATTTTTTTTCACTTCATTGAATAATAACCGCTTCTACAGTGCACTCATCACCACGCGTTTAACGCGTATGGCGTCTTCCTTGATCCTACTTCTGCACACATGACTTCACTGTCTCTGATCCTCGCCTCGCCTTTACCGTCTGTCCTCACTCCTACGCCCCCCCCGCACCGCGTGTGCTGCTCGTTTCCGCCTGTTCGATTCGCGTCGCATCTCGTCGCTTGCCGCTGCGTGTCGTCGCATCCCGTCGCCATGGATCTCGATCTGGAGGGAGTTCCCGAGGAGGATAAGGCGCGTCTCACGCAGATGATCGAGAACGCGCAGCGCCGAGACGGGTGAGGCGAGGCGGGAGGGGCTAAGCTTCCTAGCTTTCAGACGCTTTAAAAAGTGGGTAGATCAAAGGCATAAGGGAGGATAAGGCGCGCCTCACGCAGATGATCGAGAACGCGCAGCGCCGAGACGGGTGAGCCGAGACGGGTAGGAGGAGTGAGACCGGTTCGTTACGGCGACAATGGGTGGATCCAAGGCACATGGTTCAGCCAGGGTGGATAAGGCTAGGAGCGTCTTACGTGGATGATCGAGAACGCGCAGAGACGAGGCGGGTGAGCCGAGACGGGTGGGAGGAGCGAAGCGCCTTAGCCTCCGCTCCCGCAACAATAGTGTGCGCGTTTCGGATGCAATATGATGGTTCAGCGTGTGCGCTTTTTAGACGCAGCAATGGTGTGCGCTGCCTCGTTGTATCAGCATGCAGTGCATCCTAAGGCCGCAGTTGATTGGTTCAGCACGTGTAACAGTTTGCTAAAACTCCTTAAGTTGCGTTCAGTTTGATTGGTTGCCTGATCCGATCCGACTTTTGAGTCGACTCAAAAGTCACCTCGTTTGGTTGAGGTTGTCTGATCCGATCCGCACCTCTGCAGGGCTTTGAGTCTACTTTAAAGCATTTCATAATTTCGGACCAACGAACACATTCAGTCTCTTCCGAACCAGCCTGCTTAAGCGAAGGCACAAGTAGCTCCTTACTTAGCTCTTAGCCTGGACTCATGTAAGAACCGCATGAGGAAGCTTCTCACACTTGGCTGACTCTTGTGTTGAGTTCAAGGTTTATACTAGTCTGTCTAAACTTTTAAGGTTCAAGTAATATCAATGCCAAACCAGTCTGCACTTGTGTAGCGGAGGTTCTGTACCTCCCTCCCCTTTTCCCCCCTTGTCTGTTTCAGAGGTTGTATTTGTAACTCTTTGTGGGGTGGTGATTTAGGGAGTGGGGTGGTGATTGTGGCGTTCACAATGTGGGAGTATGATGGCAGCCTCAAGCAGGAAGTACTTGCTCATCCTCCTCCTCCTCGCCCTCTCCACTCATCTCTGAACTCATTATTCCTCCCCACATTAGTGTTGCGGTTTTTCCAAGGCCACGTGAACAATAATTTTCCCCCCCTTCCCTTCAACCCCTCCCTTCCCACTTCCCCCTTCTTTCCACCCCATGCTCCAGAGCTTGTGTGTACAACTTAGTAGTGGAGCTGTGTTACAGAGCCTGCGTTGACAATTTTGGGCAGAATACTCAGTACAGATCTCTGCATTTTCTCTCCCTCTCCCTCTTCCCCTACCCATCCACCTCCTCCACCCCACTCCAGAGCTCGCATGTACAACTCGATGGTGGAACGGTGCTTCAGGGACTGTGGACAATCTCAAGCATTATTTACTTGATTGACCTCTCTCCTGCCCCCCAACAACACCAGCGCTCGCATGTACAACTCGTTGGTGGAAAGGTGCTTCAGGGACTGTGTGGACAACTTTAGGCGGAAGACACTCGATAAGACGGAGGAGCAGTGTGTGAAGCGGTGTGGGGAGAAGTTTCTGAACCACTTTGCTAGAGTCGGCATGCGCTTTGCCGAGCTCCAATCAGGAGCTTCCAGTGAATGAAATCAGTATTGTCAAATGTATACATATAAATTCATAGATGCAGTCGGTCATATGATAGCATGTCTCTGCTTGAATGGTAGTGGAGATTTTCTACTTGACAAACAGTACTGTAGCACCAAGACTCCATGAAGTGGAGCAATGTGTGAAGTGGTGTGGGGAGGGAGAAGTTTTAAAACCACTCCAATCAGGAGCTCCCTCCCAGTGATAGTGAACAGTTTTCGCAATACAGAAGATCTAATTGGTACATAATGCAGTCATCTGGACGAGTGATATTGTTAGTGTACCGATGAATTGTTATTAAATTTGACTGTAGCGATTTTATTATTCGGGATATTTTTGTGGCTGAGGGTGATAGCGCGTCTGCTGTTGTCGAGCACATTTATCCACGTGATGCTGCCAGAGACTTTGACGAGTGGCATGGCATGCCATGCGCTTCTACATAACCACGCCGTTTCTCAAGCTCACGCCCTCTTCTCGACAACGCGCCTCGACCTCACGCCCATTTCTCGCCCATCGCTGCCGGATACTCAGTTGCAGAGAGTTACAAAATGGAGTTCGGCGTTAGTCTGAGCACCACCAGCACTTTGTGTCGTCATCTTGATACTGGGGGCTTGCCTTGTATTCTTGAGTCAAGCGCGCATCATCAATCTCATCTCTCTAGCAAGCCATGGAAGGTTTAGACGGGCCGGTGTTGTTTCGTGTCGCGGACGCTACCGGCGATGCTGTTACCACCATCGCCAACATCGCCTCCGTCTCCCGCGCCTTCGCCCGTGTCGCGCGCTCGGAGCTATGGCCGCGTTACTGCCTCGCGCGCGCCGCGGTGGCTGAAGAGGGCGAGGCGGCGGCGGTGGCGGCGGTGGCGGCGCGCCTGGTGCGCGAGGCGGGCAGCGCCGATGCGCCGCGAAACGCGGCGAGCACCCTGGCGCGCTGCATGAGCGCGTGCCCGGGCGTGGTACCCGCCTGCTGCAACGCGCTGCGAGAGGACGCCAAGCCGTGGGATCGCTGGTCCAGGGAAGCCTCAACGGATTTCTGGAGCGAGGCGGAGGAGGAAAGCGGCATAGACGGGGGAAGTGTGAGTGTGGGAGGCGGTAAGGAAAGTGAGGGAGCGTTAAAGGAGAGCGGCAGTCACTTCCCTATGGATTCTCATGTCAGCGACAGCTCTGCGCTCTCCTCCGCGCTCGCCGCTCGAATCTTTCTGGACGAATGCTTCCTCCCCGCCTCTCCTTCCCGCCCATCGCCGCTCTTTCCGGGCGAGGTGGAAGGGGACGAAAGGGGGAAAGCTGCGGGGGAAGGTAAGGGGGAAGGGGACGAAAGGGGGAAAGTTAGGGAGGAAGGAGCGCAGGAGGGCGCGGCTGTGTTGATGGCAGCAGGGGACTGTGGGCGGGAGCACGAGGCAGAGGCAGAGGCTGAGGAGGAGGATGAGGAGGAGGATGAGGAGGAGGAGGAGGAGCGTTGGGAGGTGGTGCGGGGAGCGATTGCTGGGTTCAGGCACTCACGGTAAGCCATGGCTATGTAACGCCATGGCCATGGCGATTGCTGGTTTGGCTATGTTGTTAGGACGAGTGTGAGGGTGTGGTCTCACCAGTGGGATGGGATGGGCCCACAGTGTAACGCCTGCTTTGTGCACAGTCAAAACGCAGGTGCATGTTTGTGAGGACGAGCGTTTGGGTATTGTCTCACCAGGCAGGTAAGCGCACAGTGTAACGCCTGCTTTATGCACAGTCAAAACGTAGGTGCATCATGCATGTTTGTGTCTCGTACATACCTCTCTCCCAATGCCTGGCTGCAGCTTTCACTGGATGCTACAAGGCCAGCCGCATGCTTCAAGCGCATGCCCCTTCTGCCATGACCAGGTGAGGCTGCTTTTGATGCTCCTCAAAACGCCGAGCTGCAAGCGCATGTCCCTTCTGCAATGACCAGGTGAGGTTGTTTGAACTTAGCTGTGATGTGTCGTCTTATGCCAGCACAGTGCTGTTTTCCCTTAGCTATTGGAATGGAGTGTTGGTTGTTCATGCATGTCAGGTGTTTCAAGCATGGATGGGCGGTTGTATGATTTTGAACACCAGCTTTCCTGCAGGACGGCACACAGGATGTGCCAACTTTTTCTGTAGCCCTACCGCACCCGTTGTTGTTATGTCATCTTGAGCAGGCATGGAGCGCCGCTGCTCTGCTGAAACCTCTTTTTGAGGCTGCCTCAAAAGCAGAAATGATGATGAGCACCAGCTCTCCCTGTGTTTGTTATGTGAACTTCAGCAGGCATGGAGCGCCACTGCTCTTCTGAAACCGACGGCTCACGTTGCGTTGGGTTGCGATGAGGGCGATGTGTGCTGCTTCATCTGCCCCCAGGTTGTTCCTCAGCCTCCGGTTTCATAACTCACACTTTTCCTTGGTTTCCAGCCACCTTTTGAGTTGACTTAAAAGGTCCTGTGCCATGGTAATGAGGTGACTTTTGAGTCGACTCAAAAGTCATCTTTGACATAATTTGTTTCAATGCAAGGTATAACCTCTTCATGGCTTACTTGGCAGGGTCACCTGTTTGGACTGTTCAAAGTATCGTGCTCGGACTATTCTGAAGAAGACAACGATTATGATTGGGATGACTATGACCGTTGTTGGTCGGATGAGGTTGATGACTTAGATTATCGAATGCAACGCCTAGCTTATTTTTGAGGTGCATCAACAGTCGGTTATGAATGGGATGACTATGACCGTTGTTGGTCGGATGAGGTTGATGAGTCATGACTTGATGATCGAATGCGTCGTCGTGTAGGTCTGGTGCAGGATGAGCGTTGGGTTTTTTGACAGGTAATGATATATCAGCGTAAGGAGGCAGATATGCTTATATTTAGCGTGATGTGTGTTAGGTCTGTAAGTTAATTCAGAAAGAAAATGGGTGTGTTACGGAAGTCAGCCAAGGCAGCTTAGGAGGGTGGTAGATTAAATTGTAATTAGTGTTTCACCTATGTGCACCTGGATTGAACCACTTGCAACTCCTAACGAGCAGCAACAGCAGCAGCCTCAAGCTGCTGTGCTGCTCCAGAGCTCCCTTGCATGCCTCTGCCTCTGCCTCTGCCTCTGCCAGCTCTGTTCACCCCGTCAACCCTATTCAACCGCACTCAACCTATCTCCTAGCGAGCAGCCACAGCAGCGGCGCTCAGTTGCTGCTCCAGAGCTCCCTTGCGAGCCTCTGCCTCCACCAGCTCTGTCTGGAGCGCCCTGTGATCCTCTAACAGGGCAGCCTGTAAAGGGGACAAGCAGCATAGACGATGATTGGGAATCGAGGTATTGAGAGTACCATGGAATATCAAATATCTTTGGGAGGAGGGTGCAGGGTAGTGTGGCCCTGCCTCTGCCTCTCTGCTTCTCTGCCTGCTCTCTCAGAAAAAACCCTCCACGCACCTTCACCACGAGCAACTCTCTGAATCTCCCTCTTCCTCCCCCTCTGTACCGCCACTCTCTCTTTCAGCTGCCCCACTGCCGCCTCTGCCTCTAACCCTATGCCTACCGCCTCTCACCCTTCTGCTTCATGCTCTCTATCTATCCTACTAGTATCTTTCCTTCCATCCTTCGTCCTCAACAGCCTGCCCTTCGCTCTGCCCCACTCACCTTCACCACCAGCAGCTCTCGCTGAATCTCCCTCTTCCTCCCCCTCTGTGCCACCACTCGCTCTTTCAGCTGCCCCACCGCTGCCTCTGCTTTCCTCGTCTCCGCCTCCGCTGCCTCCACCTGCCTCTGCTGCTGCTGCAGCACTGCCCTCGCTTCCTGTTGGAAAGAATTGAAGGGAGGAGAGGAGAGGACGGGAACCATGTGTGAGTCTAAGCCAGCCTTTAGTCAACATACTAGTACAGCTCCTGCTGCCCCACCGCTGCCTCTGTTTTCCTCCTCTGCTTCCACCTGCCTCTGCTGCTGCTGCAGCACTGCCCTTGCCTCCTGATGGTATCAAGGGAGCGAGGGGACAGGGAAGAGAGGGAGATTGAGTTGAAGTCTGAGCCGGTCATTAGTCAACGTGCTACTACAGATGTTGCTGCCTCTGCCTCAACCCTCCTGGTCTCCTCCTCCCCTGCTTCCACGTGCCTCTGCTGCTGCTGCAGCGCCGTCCTTCCCTCCTGGTGGGAAAGGGAGGAAGGAGAAGTCGAGTTTGAGTCTCAGCTGTTTGTTGATTGTCAGGTGAAAGAGGATGAGGGCACGCAGAGGGCACACAACAGTAGCAGCATACATAGTCGAGGGGGAGAGGCGAAAGGGGTTACCACAACCACCAGCGCTGCCACCTCCCGTTCAGGAGTCACGAAGGGGTTACAGACAGCGGTGAGATTTGAGTCAGCTCCGTACCTCTTTCTGAATGCGCAGGATGGAGACGAGGAACGGGAGAGGCAGTAGCTTGCATGCAGCAGCAGCCTCCATTTCCGAAGGGGAGAGGCGCGAGGGGGAGACCACACCCACCAGCGTCGCCACCTCCCAGTCAGCCAATCCCGCACCGACAGCTGTCAGGTAGGCTGTTACCGCCTGTTGTTAGGGGAAGGGGAGGGGTTGAGGTGTGATGGCATGGAGGCACAGAGGAAGGGCGATGACAGAGGAGAAAACATTAGGGATGAAAGGGAGGATAGGGGTGGTGTGGCATGGAGGCACAGAGGAAGGGCGATGACAGAGGAGAAAACATTAGGGATGAAAGGGAGGATAGGGGTGGTGTGGCATGGAGGCACAGAGGAAGGGCGATGACAGAGGAGAAAACATTAGGGATGAAAGGGAGGATAGGGGTGGTGTGGCATGGAGGCACAGAGGAAGGGGAACGGTGGAGATGGAAGCGGTTGAAACTCGTGTGCCAGTGTGAGTGTGTGACTTATGTGTGTGACTGCGTGTGTGGGACAGCATCATTGTCTCCTCTTACCTTCAACAACCCGTCACGGGACGGCCGCGCATCCGCAGGGAGGGCACACAGCAGATGCTTCCACTACTCCACACTCAGAACTGCCTGCGTACCCCTCACACCCGAACTGGGAGCTCACACCTGCACTATGTGTGTGTGACTGGCTGTGACTGCCTGATTGTGATAGAGTGTGGGACACAATAGTTAACTCTTACCTTCAGCAGCCCATCGTGGGATGGACGGGCATCAGCAGGGAGGGCACACACCAAATGCTTCCACTCCGCTGCACTCAGGGCCGGCTAGAAAGACTCTCTGCCGCTCACACCCACACTGGGAGTGAGCATTACCTTAAGAAGACCGTCATGAGACGGCCGGGCATCAGCAGGCAGGGCAGAGACCAGATGCTTCCACTCCGCCACACTAAGTGCCGGCTGAAACGCCTGCGATTCAGACTTAGCAGTTTCATCCTCCATAGCAGCCGCTTCGTTATTAGCAGGAGCACCGGCACTGATGCTTGAGAAGAGACCAGCGGACGCACTAGCAGCAGCAGAGGCAGAAGCAGTGCTAGCAGCGGCAACCCCGTCAGCAGCAGAATCAGGGTGGAGTGCTGGAGGGGAGGAGAGGTGGAGGAGATAGGCATCGATGAGCGATGCTGCAGCCTGTAAGGGGGTGTGAAGGGGTGTGAAGGGGTGTAAGGGGGTGCAAGGGAGTGAGGCACAGAGAAGCCAGAGGCAGCACCAGAAACAGTAGCAGCAACCCCGTCAGCAGCAGAATCAGGGTGGAGTGTTGGAGGGGAGGAGAGGTGGAGGAGATAGGCATCGATGAGCGATGCTGCAGCCTGGGGGCGTGGAAGAGGGGCGGGGGTGGAGAGGGGAGGGAGAGGAGGGGAGGGAAGGGGAGAGCGGAAAGGAGGGGGAGGAATCAGTAAAGCTACCAGTGAGAGGAGGAGAGGCAAAGGAGGTAGTCATTGACAATAGATGTAGAGGTTAAGGAGAGCAGGGCACACACCCCTACCTGCAGGGCACACTCCCCTACCTGCAGGGCACACACCCCTACCTGCAGGGCACACACCCCTACCTGCAGGGCACACACCCCTACCTGCAGGGCACACACCCCTACCTGCAGGGCACACACACATCCCTACCTGCAGGGCTTGTGCACGATCAGGGAGAGTGGAGAGGTGCTCTTCCGATGCAAAGCCGTGCAGCAGACCCTGATGGGGGGAGAGAGAGAAGCGGGGGAGAGAGGGGAATGCCAGGGAAATGAGCGGAACATGCTGAGAGTGAGCGATCAGGCAGCGTAGAGAGGTGCTCCTCCGATGCAAAGCCGAGCAGCAGACCCTGACAGGTGGAAAGCGGCAGGAGAGAGAGTAGCAGGGAAGAGAGGGGAATGATAGGGGGAAGGACGGGGAGGAGACCGTTGTGAGGGAAGTGGTGCCTGGAGGAGTGGGGAGAGAGGTGAGGTGCTCCTCCGATGCAAAGCCGTGCAGCAGACACTGACGAGGGGAGAGAGAGAAGCGGGGTGGAGAGGGGAATGACAGGGAAAAAGAACACGCTGAGAGTGAGCGATCAGACCCTGGCGAGGGGAGAGGAGCAGAGGTGAATATCACGGGGGACCATGGTACTATGTAGAGCTGTACCAAGCGTTCTGGCAAGATAAGTGGGCGGGTTGCTTTAACCCGCTGGGAAAAAGTGTTCGAGAGGAGCAACCCGGGTTTGAACCGGGGACCTATCGATCTGCAGTCGATTGCTCTACCACTGAGCTATTGCTCCGCTGATTAACTTGCGGAGAAAATCAAATTTGACTAAGCAAAACACACACACCTGCACAAAACACACACCTTTACCCCACCTGTCAAAACACACACACCTGCACATAGCTGGTCCCTTGCATGAGCGGATCATGCAGAGATGAGGTTCTAAGTGAATGCATTAACCCCTTTGTACCACTCCCCAGCCCACCCCCACCACTTCGTACCCCTTTGTGCAGAGTCGCTGGTCTCCAGCTTGAGCAGATCGTCCAGCAATGCGGTTCATTTACCTGCCTGTTCGAACCAGGACCACACTTGCCCGCACCACACCACAAAATGTTCGACCCCTCTGCACCGCTCCCTGCCTCACCTGCACGTCGCTGGTCTCCAGCATAAGCAGATCGTCCAGAGATGCATCAGTGAATAGCGCTCCTGCCCGGCTGTCGGCAGGGGAGCGGGAGGGTGAGAAAAAAGAGGTGGCAAGGTAAGATGAGAGAGGGAGGAAGAGCGGAAGCATGAGCAGATCGTGCAGCGATGCATGGGTGAAGCGCGCCCCTGCTTGATTGGGGGAGAGGGAGAGGGGAAGATGGCATGGGGGATACAGTTTCATTAGGGTGCGTGAGGGAGGGGAAGTGAGGTGAAGCATGAGCAGTTCGTCCAGAGATGTGTCTGTGAAAAGTGCACCTGGTCGACCGGGGGATGGGGAGGGAGATAATGTATGTGATAAGGAAAAGATGAGAAAGCACGAGGGGCTGCATGGGCACAATGGCAGCAGCAGCAGGCCCCACCCATCTCCACCGGAACACGTTTGGAATAGGGATACCCAACGTGCACTCACCGCTGCAGGGTGGCCTTGACCCCTTCACTTGCGTTGAGCACAATGGCACAACGCAGCAGCCCCAGTGATGGCTGCATGGGCACAATGGCAGCAGCAGCAGGCCCCACCCCATCTCCACCTGAACACGTTTGGAATAGGGATACCCAACGTGCACTCACCACTGCAGGGTGGCCTTGACTCCTTCACTTGAGTTGAGCACAATGGCACAACGCAGCAGCCCCAGTGATGGCTGCATGGGCACACTGACAGCAGCAGGAGCAGGAGCAGCAGCAGGAGCAGGAGCAGCAGCAGGAGCAGGAGCAGCAGCAGGAGCAGGAGCAGCAGCAGGAGCAGGAGCAGCAGCAGGAGCAGGAGCAGCAGCAGGAGCAGGAGCAGCAGCAGGAGCAGACCCTGTAGCCCTCACCGCACTCACCGCTGCAGCGTGGCCTTCACCCCCTCTGAGGCATTGAGTACGATAACACAGCGCAGCAGTTCCAGTGATGGCTGCATGGGCACACTGGCAGCAGCAGTAGCAGCGCTGTCAGTCCCTCGAGTATCCTACTGCTGCTGAACCCTAACCTCACTCACCGCTGCAGGGTGGCCTTGACCCCTTCACTTGCGTTGAGCACAATGGCACAGCGCAGCAGCCCCAGCAGCGGCTGCATGGGCACACTGGCAGCAGCAGCAGGCAGCGCTGCTGTGAGTCCCTCAAGAACCCGACGGTAGTGCGCAGGAGAGAGAGAGGAGGAGAAAGAGGAGGAGGTGGAAATGGATGAGGAGTGAGGAGAGGGAGGGGGGTCGGAGGGGTAAGAGAGGGCTGCGAGGGATTTCGGATCGGGCAGATTGTGCTGTGCGTAGAAGGCAATTGCGCTGCCAATTTCCTTCTCGGGCAGATTCTTTTCCTGGAGGGAGGCATGGTGGAGAGCGGGGATGGGCACAGAGAGAGGAGGGGAGATGTCAGGAGCCGTTACGAGGAGCGATAGGAGGAAGAGAAAAGGGATAGTGGGATGCATGGCATGGTTTTGAGTCGAATCAAACAGGATGCATGACATGGTTGAGGTGCTCTACATCGAAGGTAATTATGTTTGAGGTGCTCTACATCAAAGTTAATTATGTTTGAGGTGTTCAGAGATTTTGCAGTGGAAGTGTTTGGTGTAGTGTACCTTGAACTTGGCCGGAAGGCGGAGAAAGATTTCGAGAGGAAGGAGAGCCATCGCATTCACAGAATCAGGTGGGTTTCCTATGTTGATGGTAGCACTACCTACCACGAGTTCTAGCGTGGTGAGAGTAAGGCAAAGGCAACGCACCTTGAACTTGGTCAGGAGGCGGAGAAAGATGTCGAGAGGCAGGAGAGCAATGCCGTCTGCAGAAACAAGGGAAAAGGGCAGAAAGTATCGTTATACCCTTTCAGACGTGTTGGTTCTAGCTCCATGATTCTACAATTGGTGTGGGAATCATTTCGGTGTGGGGAAGGGAAAGTGGTGGGGAAGGGAGAAGGAAGGGGCGGGGGAGGAGGAGGGGAGAGGGGGTTAGGGCCCAGGGGAAGGGGGCGAGCTTGGGGGAGAAGTGTGTGTGGCTTGTTCTGAGAGTAAGAAAAGAGGAACCATCAAAGCCTTGGGGTTGTTTTTGATGCATAAAAGATCGTCACAGCTGCTGATTTTAGAGCGGAAAATCCATATGAATGAGAGCACGCAAGGGCTCGTACCACTGGTGTGAATGGGCGTGGTGCAGAGGTTGTGACTGGAAGCGAAGCGGGGGCGAGCAGAGGGAGGTAGGGGAACATGATGACAGAGGGGAGGGAAGGGGAAGGGGAGAAAGGGAAACATGTTAAAACAGACAGTAGAGAGGACGACACTGTAGAGAGAAACTGATTAAGTAGGCGGAAAATCTAACCCCTTGCTCTCAGGAAACATCTAAACGAGATTTTTTTAACAAGAAGGGAGGAGGGACAAGCATTTCTAACAGGGTTACCTGGTAACTGCATGGTCCGCCAGCCTGTCTGCTGCCTCGTCCACAATTCCCAAGGCGTCTGCTTCTACCAGCATTCCGGCACAGCTGAAATGAAAAGAAGGTGGGGGGAAGGGAGGGCAATGAAGGGAACGAAGATGTGTAAGCAAGCAGGAGTTGGATTTCAAGAATGATGTTTTCATTTTCCACGACCCCCGGCGCATTTGCCTCTGCCAGCGGGCCGGTGCAGATGGGAGGGAGGAACGCGAGAGGGGAGTGGGTGGAGAGGAAATATGGAGGGAGAGCGATGGAAATATGGAGGGAGAGCGATGGAAATATGGAGGGAGAGCGATCGAAATGTGCACGGGTGGGTGGGAGGGAGGGGGTGCAGTGCAGGCGGTCCGTGAGACATATTCCAGCGAGCAGGAGGTAAGGGCCGAGCCTCGCCCACGGTCCCCAGGCGTCTGCGTAACCAGCAGGCTTGAACAGCTCGGGGGGAGCAGCAGCAGCAGCAGCAGCAGCAGCGGCAGCAGCAGCAGCAGCAGCAAACGAACTCACGGATACCTTTCACACAGCAAGCATGCTCTTACCCCTTCTCCCCCTCTCTCACCCCCCATCACCACCACTCACCCTCTCAAGACGGCAAGGGCAGCATCAGCGTGTTTGAGCATGCCTGCCATGGCAGCAGCAGCAGTGAACGTGCTTGCGCATGCCCGTGCCCCCATCCCCATCACCACCACTCACCCTCTCAGCACAGCCAGAGCAGCATCAGCGTGTTTCAGCATTCCCGCCATGGCAGCAGCAGCGAAGGAGAGCAGATTCACATGGCACTTGCCCACGCCCTTGCAACAAGCACTCTCTTTCCCCTTCTCCGTACCTATTACTCGCACCACCACCACTCACCCTCTCAGCACCGCAAGGGCAGCATCGACGTGTTTCAGCATGCCTGCCATGGCAGCAGCAGCAGCAGCAGCAGCAGCAGCAGCAGCAAGAGCAATCACTCTTGCCCCTCGCCCCCCTTCACAACCACTACCACTCACCCTCGCAGCACCGCAAGGGCAGCATCAGCGTGTTTCAGCATGCCTGCCATGGCAGCAGCAGCGAACGACAGCAGGTTCACACGGTACTTTCCCATGCCCTTGCGCGAGTCATCGGTCATCCCGAGGAACGCGGCTGGATTGGAGGGGAAGAGGGAGGGAAGAAAGATAAGCAAATTCGCGCGGTACTTGCCCATGCCCTTGCGCGATTCATCGGTCATCCCGAGAAACGCGGCTGGATTGGAGGGGAAGAGGGAGGGAAGAAAGTGAGGGGGTCGGGTGAGCGACGGACGAAAGGTAAGCAGGTCCACACGGTACTTGCCCATGCCCTTAGGGGAGTCGTCGGTCATTCCCAGGAATGCGGCTGGAGGGGAGGGGGGAGGGAGGGAGGAGGGACGCAGGGAAGAAATGGGGGAAGGGAGTGAGGCAAGGAAGGATGAAGGACAGCAGGTTCACACGGTACATGCCCATGCCCTTGCGCGAGTCATCTGCTATTCCCAGAAATGTGCCTGGCGAGTGGACGGAGAGAGTGCGAGAAGGGTTGTTGGTGCGGTGCGGGTTATTAGGGATGAATGACCAAAGAGATTCCTGACAGGCGTACACGCGCTCACCACCCCACTCACACTCGCACTCACTCTCCCACACTCGCACTCACTCTCCCATACTCACACTCACTCTCCCACGCTCACACGAACTCGCTCGCATAAGCGAGGGCAGGAGTATCAAGCGGTGATATCTTGATATCAAGTGGTAACATCTTGAACGTGGTTTCTTGTCTTGTCTCTTGGGTACGTCACGAACTCACCGGCACAAGCAAGCGCAGGAGCATCAAGCGGTGATATCTTGAAATCCATTCCGTAGCAAAAGCTGGCGACCTTTGGAGGGGCGTAGGGGCGGGGGAGGGCATAGCATGGGAGGTGAGATGGGACAAAGGAGCGAGCAGGAGCGTCAAGCGGTAAATTCTTGGGAGGTGACACGGGACAAAGGAGCGAGCAGGTGCGTCAAGTGGTGGGAGCAGGCAGGAGCATCAAGCGATGATATCTTGAAATCCATTCCGTAGCAGAAGCTGGCGACCTTTGGAGGGGGAGAGTGACAGAGGCAGGCACAGGGGAAGGGCTACTCGCTTTAAAAACAACAATGGTGTCTCTTAAGCATCTCACAATCTAAGCCATAAAAAGAAGTTCATCCACTGCCGCAGCTGGTAACTTAACTTCCTTGCTGCCCCATTTCCTCCCCCATCTCTACCCCATCTCTTACCCATTTCACCTGCTTTTGAATCCCACCCCTCCTCCTGGTAACCTAGGTCCTAGGTCACTAAGTTCGTGTCCATCTCACTCAACTGCTCAACCGCCCTTTCTCCTCTCGCAGTTGCGAGGTTATGAAATCACTTTCCTTTCCCACCCCACCCCACCACTAACCTGCTTGAACGCCCTTTCCCCTCCGGGCAATCCCGAGATGTCGATGTGGTTGCGACCCGTATCAGGGTCCTCAGAGGAAGATTCCTGGAAAAAGTCACTGGTAGACAAGGGATAGGAGGAAAGGAGAGAGAAAAATGAAATCGACTTCTACAAACAGGATCATAAGGGGAAGATTCCCAGAGGTTTCGCTGGTAGGAGAGGGGGGGAGCGAGGGGAAGAGAGGGGAGGCTGAAAAGGGGGGGACAAGCGGAGGTGGGATATAAGCACTCACGTGCGTGCATATAGCGGGTACTTGTGAACGTTGAAGAACACTCCGGATACAGTCACTCCCGGTGCAGTCACTCCCGATATAGTCACACTCAGGTCGCTCCTCATGCCGGCTCGCCTCAGCCACACGGCCTCCAACTCCTCCACCGACATGGATGCCACGTCAACAGCCATACTCGCTGATGGATAAGGTTGGCGGACTGCCACGTGTCAGCAGGCTACTGGAAACGGAGTCTGACGGAGTCAACTGCACGACCCGTTAAGTTCCTGATTCCTTAAACAGAACAAGGGCTAAGACGAGAGGAGGCGGGAAGGCTGTATTCTCTTCAGAGTCGAAGTTAAGCAATCCCGGTCGCTTGCAATTATTCATTTAGTAGCGCTTGACACTGGTACGCGCCAGTTTTGCAGCAACCCTAAGCCTTCTGAAAAGGGCTGACCCGAACAGCTGTTTCGGCTCGCATCCTCTCCAAACGGTTCTTCTTTTTCGGACGTGAGCAAAATGAGAGCGGCTCGGTCGTCCGGCCAGTTTGCTTTCCCTCTGCGCCTCGAGGGGAACGAACGACGTTTGTCGCCAGCACTGATGCGATCGAGGACACGAATTCGACCCAGCATGGTAACCAGAACTGACGTCTTCGCCGGGCACTGTAGCGACGGCCCAGTGGATTCGGAATCCTTCGTTCGATGTGCACGAACTTCGTGGGAATCGAGAACAGGGAACGGTGAACATTGTCAGGGTGAACGGTGCTCGAAATCAACGTTTCGGATTTCGTCGGGAGCGCCGGTCAGCGAATGGGCTTAACTCAATCACTGTACTACTTGAATTGTAACATGTTCTTACAATGCTCCCTCCAAAATTGTAACGCAGCGTCTGCTCGACTAAAGATGCGGCGACAAGATAGCTTTTGAAAGCATGCAAAGTAGAGCATTGTGCAAGTCGCCGTGACATTATGACAGCGTCTAGCAGAGGCAACGCGACGTGATATTTGTCCAATGCCATCATGGTTGTACCGTAGTAGTCTCGAAATTACCGATTGATGACGCGCACGCCTTTCTGTGGGTGTCAGACGGTACTAAAAGCTGGTTGGAACGAGCCGAGGTTTCGTTTGCAATATTCGGGAGTTTTGTAAGGTACTTTACGGTTCAATGCGGTTCTGAGCAGAACCGGCTGGAGAGCTGGTGAAATTTAGGGCGAATTTAGGGCGTTCGTTTTCACTAATCTCGAAACAAGCGAGCTGGTGGCAAAAGCTTGTTGTGGAATAAAACCATCTGCAATTTAACTATAATTGATTTAATTGCTAAGATTGCTGAAAGCACCCTAAATGGCAAATCAACCTGCTAACTAGCTGATTGTGTTTCAGGGGCTGGTTGGTGCTGCATGCTATTACAACAAGCCACAAGCCGTAGCTCAATCCTACCACAGTAAAGGGGACGATCAACTCTGCAGCACAGCTACGGTAAGTATGCCAAAATTGCCCCATGAATGACGGGGAGCGGGTTTGCATTCCCCCCAATGAAAACCCTGCTGATTTGTGTGTCTTAACTACATATGCTCATTACACTGAACCCCTATCCGTCTGTCCTCCTGCTACCTCCGCTTGTCCCACAGCCCAATGTTCCTCTCCCAGATGCAGCTCCTCAACCCAAGTTGACCCAAGTCAGCTCTAGTCAGCTCCAGTCAACTTAGATCAGCAAAAGTCGACCAGATTATTGTCAGCAGTTCCGCTACCAGTATGCCAGCTTCAGGGAGTCTTTGCCTCCTCGTTGATACCAGTCTATACCATCTCTGAAGTCAACCCAAGTCAACCCTACTCAACAAGCCAACCCCACGTCAACCCTCCTCAGCTGCCTAACCTGGAAACAGCTCCTCGTCGCTCTGCCCAATTAATACAACAAAGGGTGCACCCCGACGGTGGATAGTACACAGGAGGGGATTCGATGGAAATTCACCCACCATAGGTCTTACAGAACAGGGCAAGGCGTTACCTACAACCTCCTTTGAATAATCTTAACACTCACTCTAATCGTCCCGGTCTCAGGAGGGAATATCCCCCCCAAGTCCACGCCGCCCTCCCCCCTTACTCCATTCGTTCCACATGCAGTTCCGCTTCCCCCCATCCCCCCTCTCCCCTTACTCCATTCGTTCCACATGCAGTTCCGCTTCCTCCCATCCCCCCTCTCCCCTTACTCCATTCGTTCCACATGCTGTTCCGCTTCCCCCCATCCCCCCTCTCCCCTTACTCCATTCGTTCCACATGCAGTTCCGCTTCCCCCCATCCCCCCTCTCCCATTACTCCATTCGTTCCACATGCTGTTCCGCTTCCCCCCATCCCCCCTCTCCCCTTACTCCATTCGTTCCACATGCTGTTCCGCTTCCCCCCATCCCCCCTCTCCCCTTACTCCATTCGTTCCACATGCTGTTCCGCTTCCCCCCCCATCCCCCCTCTCCCCTTACTCCATTCGTTCCACATGCTGTTCCGCTTCCCCCCATCCCCCCTCTCCCCTTACTCCATTCGTTCCACATGCTGCTCCGCTTCCCCCCCCATCCCCCCTCTCCCCTTACTCCATTCGTTCCACATGCTGTTTCGCGTGCTTCCACCTGCACCCCGGCGACCCTCACTTCGTCCGCTGCTGCTGCTTCTGAGCAGACTCAACTTTTGACTCGACTAAATAGTCTACAACCTTTACTGTTTCCGCGTGCTTGCAGCTGCACCCCTGCGACCCCCAATTCGTCCGCTGCTGCCGCTGGCGCTGCTCCCCTTCCCCCCAACCCCCCGCCTCGCAATCACTTCCGCTTCCCCCCATCCCCCGCCCCATCCAATCACCTCTCCGCTCCGCTTCGCTGCTTCCCCGCGCTTCTATCGTATCCCCTACGCTCCCCATTGCGTCATCATCAATTTTGTTCCGGATCCCCCTACCCCCGCCCCTTCCCCCGCCCCCCCTTTCCGCTTCAGGTACCGTCCACCGGCGGGTCTTCAGGTTGAATGGGGGGAGAGGGGGTGCGCGGGGCGGGACGCGGGTGGTGGCGGCTTCCGCGGACGGTTCCGCCGACTGTCGGGTATAGAGGTTGAATAAGGGGGAGAGGGGTCGCGCGGGATGCGGGTATCGGCTTTTGGCGCGGAAAGCTCCGCGGCGGGCGGGGCATGCAGTTTTGGCGGGGTGATTGGGGTGATGGGCGGCAATGGGGGCGACGGGGGGATGGGGGGATTGGCGGGATGATAGGCATACGTGGGGCCGCGGAGGTCTCGGTGGCAGATGCGGCAAGTGGTTTTGGCGGCGAGCGGGTGACGGGGCTGAAACGCCAATCTCTTGAGTGGGGTTGGTAGAGCACAGGAATACAGGGTACTTCACCCCCGTACGGGAATTAGCGTGACGATTTGGCGGCGATAAAAGCAGGCGGTTTTCTCACAAGAAATGACGGGAACGATGATGGAAACGGGGGAAAAGAGGATTAAGAGTTGCTCTCTTGAACGGCGATGGTGGGGATTGTGGCGATGGTGGGGACGGTGGGTATGGTGGGGACGGTGGGGATGGTGGGGATGGTGGGGATGGTGGGGATGGTGGGGACGGTGGGGACGGTGGGGATAATGGGGCCCGCCGGCGGGTCATTCTCCGCGCGCGAGTCGTTTTCTTGCGCGGGAGCAGTGGCGGGGCCGCGGAGGTCGCGGCGGCAGATGGGGCAGGTGGTTTTGGCGGCGAGCCAGAGGTCGATGCAGTCGGCGTGGAAGCCGTGTGCGCACGCCGGCACCACCTTGATGCGCTCGCCCGCCGCGTACTCGCCCAGGCACACCGCGCACTCGCGCGTAAGCCTCTCCACGCGCCCAGGCCCGCGCGGAAGGCTCTCGCACCAGCTTCCGCGGCCAATCGTTGCCGCAGTGCTTGCCGCGCTCTCATCCCGAAGATTCCCCGAGTCGCTGCCGACAGTAATCGCTACGCGGTCGTTTGCGAGAGGACCCCCGCAATTTTCGCCGCAATTTTCCCCGCAATTCTCGGCGCAAGCTGCGGGGTAACCAGAACGACCGTTTTCCGCCATTAGAAGCCCATCACTCCCTAGACCGTCTAAACCGTCCGAGCCGCGATACGTGAAAACGGGGAACGAGCGAATCGTCGCGCGGTCGAGCCCGAGAATCGCGGGCTTCTGGTCCAGATGTCGCACCCATATCACCCGCGGGAGAGCGCGCTCCGCCGAGGGGCGGCTATCGAGATTAATTTCGAACCATTTGAGCCGTCGGATCACGCAGACGGCGACGGAGACGGTGAAAACGAGGATGAGGCAGACGGAGAGCGCGGCTGCGAAGGTGAGTGGGGAGAAAGAGCCGCTGGACGGTTGATTCGGACACGGATGTAGCATCGACGGTCTGCACGCGTCCGCCATGGCAGCGGGCTGTGCTTTTGAGCGGACTGAATAGTCGCCTCGGCTTCTGAGCGTCCTTGAAAATGCTTTTCCGAGTATTAGGCTAGACAATGGCAGTGTCTACCAAAGAGGGTCAGGAACATTTTGGTGCGGCGGTGGAAACCAAAGTCCGAGAAATAACGGCTATGTAGCCTCCGTTGCTGCGCTGCGGTGACACAAAAGGCGGCAAGAGTGCAACCGTGAATATGCGGCAGGAGAGGTCTCCTGATAGCCCGACGAAGGGCAGACAAGTCTGTGTCTTGAAGTGAAGAGAAGGAAAAGCAGATAGTGAGGTGGAGCGCTAGGAAATGGATGCGAGTATGGCCGAGGGGGAGATTAGAGGGGAGGGGACAAGGCCGGGCCAGCCGAGCCGAACCAAGAAGCAAGAGAGGTTGGCGGGCGGCGCGGTCGGTCGGCGGTGCGATGGGAGATGAATTTCTTTGTTCCAGAAACAAAGCACCTTGCATGCATCATGCGGGTGGGCTTGGCATGGCGGCTGGAATTTACAGCACAGTGCATGCGCTGTAAATCAAACCGCAACGGGGTCAGGTGGAAGGCGTAAGGTGAGGCGTGTAGTGGTGTGTGGAGTGAAGAGGCATCGACTGTCAGGAACGGTCAGGTGGATCACAAGGAGAGAAAGCTGACCGTCAATAGAAAGGTGAGTGCCATAAGAGTGGAAATAATGAAAGTGTTTAAGGAGGTGGATTCCTTTTAGCTCAAAGTCGAAGCTTTTAGGCTGATTCAGTATGCATCTTAACGATTTTGGGAGAAAGACGAGTTTCCTTCCACCACCAACTCCAGAAGGGAGAAAAGATACAAAAACATCCACCTAGCGTGGTGTGTTGAGAAAAGCAAGCGGGGAGGGAGGTATTTCTCGAAGGAGAAATCGTGGCCGTCTGAATTGCCGGAGTGAAATGTGTGGCTCCGGGCACATCTGTGTTTGTGGTGTGCGACGAGTCAAGGTCGCCGCGAATCTGTGCGAATAAACGAAGAACCTTCTTTCGCAATTAGCCTCGATCGCTTTGCCACGTCATCCTTAAATGGAAGTGGTCCCAGCACGGTGTAATCTGACGTCAGAACCAAGCCTCAGGTCCTGACCAATATTTATCCAGAAAATACAGCGGATCAGAAAAGCTTCATTTTTCTCCATAAATTACATGACGAACAAGAGAAACCCCAAATAAAATTATCCCCACAGTACTATTGCCCAGTTCACACACTAGAAGTCCATAAATGAGTTTACACCTTATCTTCCCATTCAAGGAAGAGGAAACATGACCTTGGTCGTCACAGGAGGAACTGGCTTCTCGCATGAGCGAACTATGCTAAGTGAATCAACAAGTGTAGCCACATAACCTTTTGCGCACGTGCAGTTGTAAGTTCCCACCAGGTTGATGCAAACAGAGTTCTTCACATCCACACAAGGCCTCAGCTTGCATTCGTTGATATCTGCATCACAACACACACACACACACACACACACACACACACACACACACGCATGCACGCACGCACGCACGCACGCACGCACGCACGCACGCACGCACGCACGCACGCACGCACGCACGCACGCACGCACGCACGCACGCACGCACGCACGCACGCACGCACGCACGCACGCACGCACGCACGCACGCACGCACGCACGCACGCACGCACGCACGCACGCACGCACGCACGCACGCACGCACACACACACACACACACACACACACACACACACACACACACACAACAAAAACAGAATCAGTACAAAACAACACTGGTCATTTGCCAACATATATTCTCCCAAGAAAAATATACAAACAGATGCAAGCACTCAAAATGGACACTCACCAAGACATGTTTGAGTCTCCTCATCAAAGGTGTATCCGGCCTGGCACCCGCAAGTCGAGCGGGTCGGCACGGCATCAAAATCAGTAATGCAGTCCCCATTGGGTCGCATCTTGCACCACTTGGCGAACGCGCTGTCGTCTGCAGCCGTGTCATTGACATACGTTGCACAGGCGTCCAGAACTGGGGGGAAGTGAACACAAGGAGAGGGGGGGAGGGTAGGGGAAGAGGAGGAGAGGGAGGGGGAGGGGGGTAAGGGGGCGTGCAGGGGAAAACAGGGCATGTAGCGTGAACGGCAGGCACCACGAGACGGCGTCAAAATTAGTAATGCAGTCCCCATTGGATAGCATCTTGCACCACTTAGAAACGCGCTATCCTGTGCGGCCGTATCATTGATGTACGATGCACAGGCATCCAGAAGTGGAGGGAGGGTAAGAGACGGAGCAGGGAAGCGGCAGGGAAACGACGTGCAGCAGGTTGGATGGCAAATGCAACGAGCTGTCCTCTGCATCCGTGCCGATCTCATGCGATGCAAAGCCGTCCCGAAATGGAGGACAGAGAAGGCATGAAACAGGGCCGCAGGAGGGAAAAACAGGGACTTGGAAAAGACTCGCAGCAGCATCAGAACAGCAACGGCATTTGTCCCAGAAGGAGCAGTGGTGTCAGACGAGCACGCAGAGAAGGCAGCAGAGAAGGGGGAATAGCATGGAAAATGGCAGGGCTGTACTCGTGCACTTAAACGCAATAGCCCACCGTTGGCATCAAGGTCGTCGTTGGGAGAGCAGAGCTTGCAGAGAGGTGCAGGACGGTACTGTCAGATGAAGAGGCAGAGGGAGTGGTGGACAACGAGCAGGTGGCAGGGACCCTTGCCTCGTAGAGCGAGAGCCTCACTGGTGGTGCACAGGGCCTGGGAGAACGAGCCTCACTGGTGGTGCACAGGGCCTGGGAGAACGAGCCTCACTGGTGGTGCACTTGGTGTCGGGGTCGTAGTTGGGCGCGCAGAGCTCGCAGAGAGGCCCCGTGGTGGTGGGCGGGCAGGCGCACGTGCCATCGCCATCAGGCCCATCCTTGCACGTGCCAAGATTCTGACACACTGAAAGAAGTAGAAACGGGGGGGGGGAGGAGACAAAGAGGGAAATCGTGAGGGCGTGACATGGTACAGTGGGAGGGCAGGAGCATGTGCCGTCGCCGTCAGGTTCGTCCTTGCACGTGCCGAAATTCTGACACACTGAAAGGTAAAAAAAAGGGAAGTTAAAGGGTGGTAACGTAGTGGGCAAGTAAGGGAATCGTGCAGGCGTGACATGGTGGGGGTGAGAGGGCAGGCGCCCAGATTCTGACACACTGCAAAACCGACCCCCCCCCCCCCCCCCAAAAAAAAACACAAACCAGAACATTGCATCACAGCTTTCCAAACAGGACGTGGCAGCACGTGCCGAGCTCCTAGCACTCTGCACGGCACGACATGACACAGCATGGCATGGCATGGCATGGCATGGCAGCATGACACGGCATAACATGGCATGGCATCGTCCTTACCAGGGCACGCGGTGCAATCGACTCCGTAGAATCCGGAACCAACCAGGCACTCTGGAAAAGAAAGAAAATGGTTTAAGAAGGGAAGGCAGGAAAAGGGGGGTTGGGAGGGGGGTTGGGAGGGGGGAGGAGGGGGGAGAGAGAGGGGGGGAGAGAGGGGGGGGAGAGAGGGAGGAGTAGGGGGGGAAGGGGAAGGGGGCGGAGGAGGGTGAGAAAATGTATAGACATGAGATGACGAAAGGCAGGATATAAGTAGAGGAGGAATGATACAAGGAACTGTAAGTACGAGTCCATGAAAGGAACTCAAGGGAACAAAGCTGATAAAGTGAAGAATATGTTTGCTGAAAAACAAACAAGCGAACAAGAAACGGAAAACGACAACGTAACGAACCAGAACAAAACTGAAGAAATGTTGGCCTTACCCGCAGCAGCAGCACGCGCCGCAATGAGGCAGAGAAGCGCGGCGATGACCACGTGGGAGGAGGACGAGAGCCACGTGGTCGACGGGACGGACATTCTGACGCGTCGCGGAGACGAAGAAGCCATGGCTTCACGGGGTTGGCTTCCTGCAACGGGATTTTACGTCAGGGGATTGACGGAACGGGCTTGAGTTTTGAGTCGACCCAAAAGCCAACGCGGAGACGAAGAAGCCATGGCTTGACGGAGGTGGCTTGCTGCAGCAAAGATTTACGTCAGGGGATTGAAGGAACGGGCTTGAGTAGACCGGAGGCAACAGGGCTTGACACAGAAAACTTGCTTTCAGTTTAACCATCGCACCGGCATCACAGAAAATGTAGGACTTACCAAGTCACGAGATTTCGCGATTCGAATCAAACGTCACTCGAGTATGGGACACCTCGCGAGCTTTGAAGTCGTATTACGAGAATACGAGTCACTAATAGTAAGAACCGAGAAGCAGATAACTATAAAGAGCTGTGTAACAGCTGCGAAGAGCGAAGCGCCTAGCTAATAGGGCACGAAGGGCCAGAGCGGAGGGGCTGCTTGTATCGTCACTGGCGAGGAGGCTGCTTATATTACCTTCTAGTGTCACTCGGAGCGTCGAGATTGTAATGACTCCTCTCCTCGCAGTTTCTCGCCGTCGATTGCACTACCGCGTTGAATGTATTGACGCTAACCTTACAAGTGGAATCCCAGAGAGCTCTTGCAAAAAGGATTTTTAATTCGGAGTTGCTTAGCGGCGGAGCTAAAGGAATCCGCACACCATTCGAGCGCAATTATCGTCGCTATGCCCCCTTTACGGTGCTTCGCTGTCGACTGCACGAGTGCGATTCGAAGCGTCTCTCAAGAGTCGCTACGTTTTTATAACGGGGATGACCGGCATCCGCGCAGCAAATCCCCTACGACCAGTGGTGAGTGGATGTTAGGCCGAGGGAAATACGTGTTGGAAGGGAGACGAAAGGCACAGCCGCAACAGCGCAGAACCAAAAAACGAGATTTTGCGGTTTCCCTCGTGCGACCGACTGTCACTGTCGCGTTGAGAGCGAGCGGCGCTGGGACTACAAGCATGTAGGCAGGCAGGCGCGATGGGATTGCGGTTGCGCTGGCAGCAATTGGCGGAGAAACGCGTCAAGGGAGAGGCTGGATTCTACTGGAATGAGCATTTGTGAACCATACCCTCAAAACGCTCAAACCCTAGGGGAAGGGTGCTAGAATGTAAAAAAAACCGCTCTAAAACCTGCAGAATCTCACCAAACCGTATGCGACCGGTGTTTTAAAGCTGTGGAGAAATCTAGGATACCACCGAGACAATAATAATAACCTCCACTTGGCCGAATAGTGGAATACGAAACGGCTGAACTGCACGTGAGGAGAACATCATCTCTCTCATGTGGACCGGCCCTGAAGCCTCTGCACCGCTCAGTACAAAGCTTAAAGCGTTTTGAAAATTATTGAACCACGGAGTAGTGCCCCCCTGGGAGGAATATGGAACGGCGCCTACAGCGAATGGCAGGTGATTCCCCCAACACCCCGCAGTCGCTGGAATATGTGACGGACAGATGCATGCTCAGCTTTAGAGAGTGTCCCAAGTGAACGTCGACATTCCCCGACAAAACTGTAGGCAATGTCGATGAATCTTGACGGTCGGAACTCTCGATCCGAGGGTGGAAATTCGCCGAAATCCCCCGACGAAACTGTAGCGTCCGTTTCTTTTTGGACCCCCCTAGACTGTGTTTGAAGCGTAGAGTGTGTGTAAACACGTGTCACTGTACAGTGCTATTGGCAGCACTGCCTTCGGCTGTGCGAATGATAACTGCCACTATCAACCTCAAGCTGTGATATTTGTTCGATGTGAATGTGTGGCACAACGCGTTCAAATGTGCGAAACCTGTTCCGAAATCACAATGCACTAATGATGAGATTCAAATGGGACGCATTGGATTGGTCGCATGAATGCAGATTTTGAGAGTACGCCACAAAATATCCTCTGACACATGTGAATAAGGGCGCGTGTCTTTTGGTTTTCATAAGCAAAACTCGAGTTTTTGGTTGAACTGTATATGTCTGAACCTAGGTCGACCAAGGCTCGAATCAAGCCACATTCGTAACCCGAGTCGCGGTTCCAACACCCTCGAAAATCACAAGACACACAAATGTTCGACTATCGAAGTTGAACTTTTGCAAATTACCCGCGTCGCGGCCAACAGTCGTAGGTTACCCGGTTTGGCCATTAGACAGGGCGCAACGTATGACCCCCGCGTCCACCGCCGCGTGTGAGTTGGCGAAGCTGGAACCCTATCGATCAAGTCGCTCGTGCTAACGACGTCAGATGCGACTGTCGCAGACTTCGCTTCTTCACCCTCTTTGGTCAAGTGGACACCCGATTGGATTTTCGTGCAAGACTGTTTGGTGCCAGAAGTTGGATTCGGTCCTGCTTCAGACATGACATTGTCCTTGGACGCACAAGCCCATGCGAAGCGTCTAACGGATACCATCAAAATATCAACCGAATTCCGAACGTCTACACCAAAAGACACGCGCCCTAAACGCAAATATTTTAGCCGTTGGCCCAAATTGCACAAGTTTTAAAAAGGGTTATTACACCTAGCCCGCGGTAAATTCACCGCGTCAAAGTGGGTAGCAGGATTTTGGATTATCTGGCCTTGGTGCAGTTAAACGCTCAAAATTTGGGTCGCTATTTTCACCACCAAATAACCGACCAACATGGAAAGTTCTGACAGTACCCCGCAAACGGAACATTTTTCTCTTTATCGCATCGAGTTTCAGGTAGGAGGAAGCATCGATGGTGGCGATTTGCGGATAACTCTTAATGGAGAAGTCCTGATTTGTGTCTCGCAAGTGCGCATATCCCCTTCACGGCGACATCTGAAATATCAAAGAAAGGGCCCGCGATTTCTCCCACTTGGTTCAATCAACTGTGTATAGTGATTTCTGGCCGCCCAGCAGGTTCCGCCCAACAAGCTGACAAACGTGGTGAAGATACCGTCGGTGAATTTACCGAATGCTAGATGTATATAGGCAGTCACAAATGTCAAACATTATATGTTTATATTGTTCTAGGCTGTAGTGGGTGATACCTTAGGGGGTATACCAGGTTAGGGTTTCATATTTGTACTGTTGTTCCTGTTAGTCACACCATTCCTGCTCAGTTATTTCTGACATGGTTTCAGAGCAGGTCCTTCGCTAGGACTGTTCTTAGGGCCCACCGACTTACCTACCTGCTTACCTTCGCTTGTTTCCGGCCCCGCTGGCCCCGTCGATCTAGCACGATCTAGCGGCCCTGCGGCCCCGTCGAACTTTTTTTTCCTAGCGGCCTCTCACGGCCCCCGTCGCGTCGCCCCTTAGCGCCCCGATCGGCCCCGTCACGCCGCCCGCGAACCGCACAGCGCGCCGCGCTCACAGCCCGCGAACCGCCCACGCACAGCCCGCGAACCGCCTGCGCAGCCCGCGACCAGCCCGCGCAGCCCGCGCACAGCCCGCGAACTGCCCGCGAGCAGCCCGCGACCTGCCCGCGAACCCCCGCGAGCCGCCCGCGACCCGCTTACGCAGCCCGCGAGCAGCCCGCGCAGCCCGCGCTGAGCCTGCGCGGCTCGTGCGCTGACCGCCGCCGGCCCGCACGCTGCCCGCACAGCTCATATACGGCCCGCACGGCCCGCGCGCTGCCTGCTCCCGGCCCGCCGCTGCTGAGCCCGCAGCCGCCCGCGCACCGCCGCTGCTGAGCCCGCCGCCGCCCGCGCACCGCCGCTGCTGCGCCCGCCGCCGCCCGCGTATCACCGCTGCTGAGCCCGCCCCTGCTGCGCCGGCTCTCGCTGCCGCCTGCTGCGCCTGTGCACCACTGCAGATCCTACTACTACACTTCCTGCTACTGCTGCTTGTGCGCCACTACAGTCCGTAGGCCCCACCGGCCCCGCTGACCCTGCGCACGCCTTTTCAGTGACTTTACTGCTTCTACTACTGCCACTGTCGCTATGGCTAGTCCTCCTGTTCTAGCTTTCGACGCCGAGGGCCGTCCGGTCAAATTCGAAACCTGGCTAGATGACCTGCACCTTTTCCTACAGCTCACTGCCAAGGAAGATATTACACTGTACGACCACGCTCTCGGCCATGCGACCGCCCCACTCGCTACTGCCCCCCCAGCTGAGCGCTCACAGTGGCAGACCCGTGACGCGCACGCTCGCTTTGCTATTCGCAACTCCCTGCCGCTAGATGAGCGCGAGCACTTCGGCCAGTGCAAGACTGCTAAGGACCTCTACACAGCTGTAGTGGCCCGCTACTCCTCACCCGCTTCTGCCACGCTAGGCCGCCTCACTCTCCCCTACCTGTTCCCCGACCTAGCCTCCTTTCACACTGTCGCAGACCTCATCACCCACCTTAAGACTAGTGAGGCTCGCTTTCGCGCTGCCATGCCTGACGAGTTCCTCGCTAGCAACCCCCCCCCGCTCTGGATCACTCTCTACCACGTTGTCACCCGCCTCCCTGACTCTCTGCGCCCTGTCAGGGACCAGTTCCTCTCTCGCTCCCCCACTGAGCTCACCGTAGACCTCCTCGAGAAGGAACTGCTTGCAGCTGAGGCTAGTATCGTCGCTGTAGGCACCTCTCGTGGCGACCCCCGCGGCCCCTTCTTCGAGGGGTGCTCCCCTTCCCCCCTCCTCCCCTCTGTCGCCTCTGCTGCTGCTGTCGACCTCCTTGGTGCTGAGAAGGTCGGGGCTGCGTCTGCTTCAGGCGGACGACGCAGGGGCAGGAGTGGCAGGAGTGGGGGTGGTGGCGGAGGAGGCGGGGGTGGAGGTGGTGGCGGTGGAGGTGCGACTGGAGAGGCTAGTGGCGGCAGTGGTGGAGGTGACAGCGGCGTTGGGAGTGGTGACAGGGGCGGAGGTGGCAGCGGAGGCGGAGGTGGTCGTGGCAGCGGCAGGGGTGGAGGTGGCCGGGGCGGAGGCGGAGGGGGTGGTGGTCGTGGAGGCCCGGGGGGCGGTCAGAGTCAGCAGCCTGCCCCGACCCTTCAGGCCGCCCGTGAGTGGTATGCGCGGCGCAGCGTCACCTGCCAGTACGTTATTCGTACAGGTGACCGCACTGGCCAGACGTGTGGGGGGCCGCACCAGACGGAGCGCTGCTTCGCCCGCCTCAACGATGCGTGGCGCACCCAGTTTCCTGGTGGGGGTGAGCTGCCGCGCTGGGCTGAGCTGCTCAGGAAGGGTGTTGATATTTGGGCACTGGACTTTGATGCTATTCTCACTGCCATGTATGCGATGTCTATTAGTGGAGAGGGTGCTCAGTACTTGCGTGTTCCGCCCGACCCGGGCATTCAGGCCAGCCCCGCTGCTGCTCTAGGTGCTAGTGTGTCTGCTTCCACAGGTACTACTGCAGCTGCTGCTCTAGGTGCTTGTGCGTCTGTGCCCCCTGGTACTGAGTCGACTGCAGCACTGCACACCTTCACACTGGACTCAGGTGCTTCTCGCTCTTTCTTTCGTGACCGCACTGTCCTTGAGCCTCTAGCTCGGCCGGTTGCTGTCTCTCTTGCTGACCCCTCTGGGGGTCCGGTCCTTGCGACCTCCTCCACCACCCTTCCGTGTCCAGCGGTTCCGTCCGGCACGCTCTCAGGTCTCTACCTCCCCTCGTTCTCCACGAACTTGGTGGCAGGTAGTGCGCTCCAGGACGGGGGTGTTCACCAGTTCACCCCTGCCTACGAGCGTGTGACTCACTGCACGTGTGCTCGGACGGGCCGCCACCTAGCTACTTTCACTCGAGAGC